ACGTGAGGACGGCCAGACGCCGGCAGCCGGTCGTGTTTACTGTTTACTTCACATACTGCGACGAGGTGACCAGAGCGGGGGAAGAGGAGGGGAGAGGGGTGAGGCACGTGCCGAGATCGCCCACAGCCGTGCCGGTCCAACGTCCAGAAAAAGGGAGAGCGCAGAGTCACGCAGGCCAGCGCACGTGGCCGCCCAGAGGTGCCCAGGCACGTGACGCGCTGTGCGGGTCACCGCACGCGGCCACGTGCGCACGCGCATGCGTCAAAAGGCGGCGGACGTGCGTGTGCAGACTGCAGACGCCGGTGCCGCCACCCGCTCAGTATGCGGCGACCAGGCCGCCAGCGACCCCGCTGCAGGGCGACCCCATCCGTCTCCCGCCGACGGGGTCGACGTCCGGAAGCCGACCCCGGCCCAGCCCGGCCCCGGCCCCTATTCCGCCGCCCCGGGCTATCGGAAGACATCAGGCTGCAGCGCGGAAGGCCGGAGCGCCGCGAGAGCAGTGAGCTGACTAGTGGACACCGGTCAGCGGCGGCCCCATCGGAGCCGGGTGTGGTGACGGCAGCAAGGCAACAGACTTGAGAAGGGACCGCCATTAGGCAGCGCAGGGATTCTAGAGCCCTTCTAGGCATCGGAAGAGCGGCGCCACTGAAAGCGAAGTGGCGATGAGCAGGTCACGCCTTCCACCAAAAATCGTGAGGGTGTGATTACTTCCCACATAAACGTTTAATTACTCGGAAACGCAGTCTGCAGTGCACAACCTAACTGCATTAGCTGCTTGGTGTAAAGGCCACCTGTTGTATCCTTCCTCACCCATGAGCTGAACGCATCAGGAGAGTCAAAACACGGCAGCACCGAGACTGCAAACTAATTACCATCACAACTCAGCCACTGCGCATGAAGTTGGCAGCCATAAACCTCGCCGCCGGCCAAACTGCGCTTCGTCGGAAGTCTGAGCGGGGCGCCGACCGATCAGCCTCCCATAGGTCACCACCAAGGCAGGCTTGCTCACCGCCGGTCGGCGCTCCATCCGTCAGCCAGTAATTGGCATAATTGAGCCGCTTCCGGCCGGCACGACCCCCGCTCGGCCGCGCACGAAGACGCTCTCGAAATGGACTCTTCCAGGAGCTGCTCAGCGGCCGGCTCTCGCCGAGTGAGCAGAGGCTCGCCTCGTCTGAGGGCGCCCCGAGGCTCTACTGCGAGCCAGCGAGCTGGTGCTGGCGAGTCAACGAGTCGGTGCTGGCGATCCATTGAGTCCGTGCTGGCGAGCCAGAGGGTCGGTGCTGGCGAGCCAGCGCGTCGGTGCTGGCAAGTCAGCGAGTCCCTCCTGCCAGCCAGTGAGAGGGTGCTGCCAGTCAGCGAGTCGGTGCTGGTGAACCAGCGAGTCGGCGCTGCCAACCAGCGAGTCAGTGCTGGCGAACCAGCGAGTCGGCGCTGCCAGCCAGAGAGTCGGCGCTGGCGAGCCAGCGAGTCGACGCTGCGAGCCAGCGGTCCAGATGCCGGAGGAAGGTCGTGACTCAGCAGCGCCGGATATTAATGTCGGCTGCTGGCTCGCGTTCCGGACCATCATCTGTGCTGCACTGTCGCGATGCGTCACCGGACGCAGTCGCTCGTTCGGCCCCGTATCACGAGCGTGACCAGCGCTGTTTGCGCCGATCAAACGGAGCGGCTATCGACGCGGCCCAGAGACAGCTGGCCAATCGTTCAGACCTCTCGGAGCGGATGCGTCAACAAAGGAACAGAGAGGCCCGTCAGACAAAAACACAGTGTTGGGCGTCACGGGACGGGGTGGGGTGGGGGGAAGGACGCGTCCTTGTGCACGAGGAGGAGGCCTCGGTCTGGCAGGGCGACGCCTGGAGGGGCCGCGCGGGGAGTGGCATGACTTTGGATACAATAGGGGCCCATTATTGAATGGTGACGCTCCGGGCTCCGAACGCACGCAATTGTGGCACCTCAGCCATTTAACGTCGAAAGCAGCTGAAGCTGGGCTTTGAGATTTGACGTACCATTACGGGATGGATCAGATGACTGTCACCTGCTTGTGTTCCTCATCCACTAAAACATGGTGCATATGTCCAGATATCGCCACAGACATGTGCCGCTGCAGACATGTGCCGGAGGTGATGACAACACTCGAGCTTGTGGCCTGAATCGATCAGCTTCAATCCAGTCTACATGCTGTAGGACTGTGGATCCCTGATGGAAGTTAATATTCATACAGTTGAGCGATTTACAGGACACAGCTGAGAAAAAAACCGTCTAGAAACTCTTGAATGTACTGACCCAACTTCTTGCCGTACTTACAACATATTTATCCGCACAGAGTTCTAAGACCTGACATCAAATACCTTGAAGCCCGCATCAATCTTTGCATGAGGTATAGTTAATTTTCGATACCCAGAAGCAGACCATATCAACGAATGTTTGGAAAGATAATGTCATCCAACCAGCATCTCCTGGTTATGAAAAGTTGACACCCGTCAGCACATGAAGTATGTGCTCGATTATTTTCTCGGTACCTGCGACCCCAATTCCAAGCACAGCCTAAACTAACATGCGAGCAAGCTTACTTACTTCCAATACGACCATTTCTTAGCTACGTAAATTTATTCAAGGCCTATTTGTTCTAAACTCTTGCCTCCTCCCACCACGACCGCTTCCAACTTGCGTGAATTTCGTCTAACTTCGCACGTTAGCGAGATCATCAATCAAAGCTCCTCGGCCAAGAAAATGTACGCCGCTGCCTCATAAACCCGGGGTTTTAACTAGCCGCGGACCGCAAGAAACACGGCTCCCAAGCAGCGGGCCACATTAACCCAGTAGGGCAGCCGCCACATACCGACGACCGTCCCAAGCGGAGCGAACTGCACGCCGCAGCACCGGGGTGCAACGGCGGCCGGTGCCGGCCCTACTGGCCGCATTTCTAATTCATGCATGCGCGAAATAGCGCCCCGGGGATGCTGGCACTTGCCGTTGAAAACAGCTGGATGACGTGAAAATTAAAGCAAAGCTGTGAAAGCACAGACGGAAACTTTTCGATTCAGATTTGAAAACGACGCTAAGCGGGAACAGAAGCCCAGACAGTGACCATGCTTGGGTGCAGGTGCAAGGGCAAATTTCCGGACGTAGGTAAGCGCGCCCAGGTTGAACGCTGAAATGTTATAAAGGCCCAGTTTCTGATGACTGATGACAGCCATTCTCTTGCACGTACTCGTCAAACTCGGTTTCCACGACTAATGAGAACCGTGTTTTTTGGCAGAAAAATCCCGTTGCGGCGACGACAATTAACAACGAAAAGCAAGATGGGGCGCAAAACACGCCAGTTTGGGAAAAGTTTCGACTTTTGGTATCTTCTTCGTCAGGTGCTTTTTACTCAGGTCGTAGTAATTCTGCATGATTCAACCTCTTTGCAATCCAATCTTAGGTTATCAAATATTTTAGCATAGAACATATGGAAAAGGAGTATGGGACAGTGGCTTTTCCCATTATGCACCATTTTGGCTAACGCTAGTGCCACCGTCGACACAACATTGCTGTTAATTGGTGTCTGACGATGCGTCGACTGCAATGGTCATCTTGAGTATGATCAACAAGGCACGACAATAGAAAAACTCCACTTATAAGGTGCTTTTAGAAATCGCAATTTTCTGTTTATTTCAGAAAACGAACTAAAACGATTAGGCGCGCTCCATCCACTTGAATTCGAAGAGACCTTGTAGGGCAATATCATGTCCTGCTACAGGCTAATCATGAATGGACAAGCAAACCAGTAGCAGCTCGCGCAGTTCAACTTTGAGCAGAGCTATCAGTGTGTAATTCGCGCCTGTCTGTTCGCAGATCAAGTCTGATACGGTTCGTCATTGTCACGACCGTGAGTTCGCTCGGAGGGGTAGGCTGCCACGTCCCCATATATAGAGCCACACAAAAAGGACCGTAATCTACTTGTTAACGGTGCTTAACTACGGTCCTCCGTTTCACCTTGTGACACCAAAATGTTGGCGAAATGACTTGAGTAACTACAGTTATCAATACCAATTTATTGAAGGATGAGATGCTGCCTGCTCTGCTGCACTGCATCGACTGCAGCCAGATCAACAGACAACTCCGTCCCCTGCAATGCATGGTGATCAACGCCCGCGACACCGCCGGCGCACCCAGGTCCGACTGCCGTGGCCAGATTCTATATATCTCACCCACGCCCAGCCCGTGAGACGACCTCTACCATCGGGCTGGTGTTAAAACGTTCATTAAGCGCGGCCGTTTCCGGTAACGCGATCTATCGCCCATCACAAATTCGGCTATAATTTCGGAGCGGGCCGCCGGGCGCTGGTGGTTCGAGCACAGTCTGCGATCGAATGGCGCCCGCTCGAATGACCTTCCGCCCTTCCCCGGCCCCTCCTCGGCGGGCACCGCCCGAGGCGTCTGTTAATTCCCTCTGTTCCTCCACCCGGCACCGTCCCGGTCCCAGAGGACGAAGCTGGAGGATCGCGCTGAAGGTGGTCAGGCTGGCGAAAATAGTTTTATGGCGGCGAAATTGGACAGTTAAACTATATGGCGCTTTTTAGTGCTTCTAAGCTCGGTGTGGACAAAACACAGTTTCTCGGAAATTGCGAAGAAATGAATCAATCGGCACACAAGAGCGCAACTGTCACGACAAACACTTCAGACATGCCCAATCAAACAGCAACACAAGTTCATTGAAGTCGCCAGATTCAGAAGTTATGTATCCTTGCGGCGTTTAGTTCGATGGCCCATGGGGGGGGGGGGGGGGGGGGCGGCCAGGGCGTGAGCGGCAGCCAGACACGGGAAAAGGGGTGAAAAGGGGCGAGAACCGTTGGCCTCCCCGGGCGAGCCCACTAATGGGACCCACATTCCAGCGAGCCCAGACTCCGCGGGCGCGCGCTCACGGGCATGCAAGCAGCGACAGGACACGAGAGCACGAAACACTCGGGAAAGGCGAGCATTCGAAAGAAACGAATAGCAGACCGTGCCGGCATTCTCACCTCGTATTTGATACCGGCGACCCTCAGGAAAGTCTCCATCTTGAGGCAGAAGGGCGAAATGGAGGGCAGCACCGGGGTGCGCGAGAACTGGAACAGGTACACCACGTCCTTCTCAAAGTCCGGCTTGTGTACGGCCGGCTTGGGCGGCGGCGCCGGCTTCTTTTCCTTCTTCTCCTCCGGCTTCTTGTCCTTCTCGGTGTCCTGGTCAGACTTCTCCTCCCGGTTGGCCTCAGCCTTCACCTCCTCCTTGACGGGGACGTCGGTGTCGGCCGGGGCGGGCGGCGCCTCAGTCTTCGTCTCGGCTTCGTTGGTCATGCTGGCTGTTGGAGGACTCCGACTAGGAGGGTAGGCACCGAAATGAAAGAGCGGCTGCACCGACGCCCAGCACACCCGGCGTCCTGAGAGAGTCTCACACCGGGGCTCCACTTTGAAATGGAAGGCACCCCAGGGTGGCGTGACGTCACGCAGACCGATCGACAGAGCGCCTTCCCATTGGCTGAGCCTGGACGCAGAAGTTTAGCGAATATAAATTATTATGTCGTTCAATGTACGGCGCCCAAACTTGAATAGAGGTTACTTTGTCTTTATTTTTATCGAGGTGGTGTCAAATAAATTTTTAACAGCCCAAAAATGAGCTTTGACAACGCAGCTGCTCTGTTGATTGGTCAGGGCGTGTCCCGCCGGCGCCGGGTCTCTTCGCCGCACGGAGACCGACCTGTCGGGCACGACAGGCGCATGCAATAACGGAGAGCAGCTGCAGAAAGGTTTTGCATATGTCAGTGAAAATCCTCATCGGTTGGTCCGAAATTTGATTCTATTACACCTCAGGCACGGCCTCCAGCGGAGGTCAGTGAATGAGAAAAGGTGGCATTGCAAGGCTGCCAAAACGGACACTCTTCAAGTGCGAAAAACCAAAGCTGGATGAGGTTTTCTAAAAACCCGTGCCCCTCCTAACACACCCATCGTCCCTCATTTTATATCCAGACCGTTCAAATGCGAGGGCATGTTTTGGCATGTGCTGACATCTATTGAATGCTTTTGAACTATGCTTTTCAAGTACCGTTTAATAGGTGGCGGTAGGACACGTCTGAATCATTTTGTTCGTGAGCCAGAAGCATGACTAAGACGGTCGACTCATATGGATTTGTCATAGGAAATGCGAGAAAATCGGTATTATTAACTGGCACCTTCAGCCCCGCCTGAAAGTCCACAGCCGAATAAGGCCGGTTATACAATTGTGAACTGCGGTAGCCTGATCAAGGATATTCACACTTCCGGTAAGTGGGTTATATTTTCACATAACTTGTGAGCAACATAAGCTCAGGCTTTTGTAGTTCATGACTTGTGGTTTTCTTGTGGAGGTTACCCTGCACGCCAGCCGAGCTGAGCGCCGATTATGCTACGACCCGGTGCATGTCATTTGTTGTAAGGATGCGAAGTAAAATGAATTCGCTTCTTGACTCGTAAAATACCTGTAAGCTCTGAAAACGACATATCATTAAGATGTCATCTAGCTTGCGTGAAAATTGTATTTAAGCGCATTGAAGTATAATTATTGGTACCTGGGGCGTAGTTTCACAGAAGAAATTGGAGGCTGAGCAGGTATGTGACTGGAACTCACGAGTGGATTCAGGATCCCATAGGATTCCATGTTAATGGGATCCTGGGACCGAATTCGGGAACCGAATTCGGGAACAAGCACATATTTACTTAAGAATAAAAAAGGCGCGAACTTCCCTCAAATGCGTCAAAACAGGTTTGTCCACGCATTTGCCCAATTTTCGTATCAAATTTAGGGTTAACTGGATCTCAAGAAAAGTGCACTGCACTGCGTCATGTACCGTGAGAAGAGCGTACACTGTGGGGGCAGGGGGAAAACTGCACCTGATGTTTTCTTTACTACTCGGATTTTGCGCCTGACCCTCGACCCCTGCGGATTTTGCGCCCGCCCTCGGCCCGTATGGATTTCGCGCCTGCCCCTCGGCCCCTGTGGATTTTGCGCCTGCCCTCGGCCCGTATGGATCTCGCGCCTGCCCTCGGCCCCTGTGGATTTTGCGCCTGACCTCGGCCCGTATGGATCGCGCGCCTGACCTCGGCCCCTGCGGATCTTGCGCCTGACCCTCGACCCCTGCGGATTTTGCGCCTGCCCTCGGCCCGTATGGATCGCGCGCCTGCCCTCGGCCCCTGCGGATCTTGCGCCTGACCCTCGGCCCCTGCGGAGCTTGCGGATGGATGGAAAGCACTGCCGATTTTCAGAGCTGAGTCAGCCACAACTAGGCATTTTCAAGGAATCGACCGTCCACGAACAGCCGCCTCCGCTGGCTCGGCGGAGAAGGTGGTGCCTCTGTAACCGGCCGTCAGCAGTCCCGTGTCACTGCACGACGCAGGCACGCGCTCGACTCAGCGTCTGACTCACAGCGCGCTGAGTCAGTTGTCACCGCGACCTCCCCTGAGCATCACTGGAGTGTTGAGATGACTCCGAGCTTGTGGTCATCAACCTGCATTTCTGTCCGAGTCCGAACCACGAGTCCGTGGTTCGCGGAAATGCATGTACTTTTCGCTAAATTTTTATTCACACGTGAGCCCTTGTAGAAATCTATATTTCATTCAAGTCAAAAACAGTCACACGTGTATCGGGCACAAGCTTGCCGCGTTCCAAGCTCATGTCTCCCGTTCATCGGCCGCGAGTAACTATGGCTACCGCCCCGCTGAGATGGCATCGTCAATCAACGACAATCTCATCCAATTGCCACACATTATTCCTAGCGAACTGTATTGTGATCCAGACACTCTGGTTGAAACGAGTGCGGTTCGGGTCGATAACTTCCGTCCATATTGTAGAGTGGACCAGCTCCCCCAGCGCCGCCCAAAAGATGGACCCTCGGCGGATCGATACCAGCGCCATTTAATGAGCTCTCGATCGCACTGGCGCAATCGGGACAATCAGTAAATCGCCCGCTGGCGGGCGGTGATAAATGGCAGCGCATCTGTCTTGTGGGCTAGGAATACAATCACGCAGCTTTCCGTGTCACAAAACCAGGAAATGGATGTCGGGTGCGTGCTGGACACAGCCGCGCTACCATACGTGTCCTTCGAAGCCGGATACTTGTCCTAAGGCTTGCGTCTATCTCGCTTTGATCTGGAAATAAATGTGAAGCATTTTTGTCATGTTTTTGTCCAAAGACGTTGGTTCTGTGCAACCCATTGTTTCTGCTAAGGCCCGCTCCTACTGCCGTCGCTGCACACATGTGTCCGGATCCCAAGGTGAATCTGGAATCGCAAGGGTTTCATGTCAATGAGATCCTGGGTCCGGATACAGGCTTTTTCTAGGGTTCTATGTCCAAGTCTGCCTCAATGCATCGCTCTAACACCTAGTTTAGTTTGCCAATGCCTAGTTTGCTTTTTTGCTTGAACATCTAGTTTGCTTGTCAGTAAAATGAAAGGGAATGAAGTCTGGTAAGAAAGTTTCACGGGGCGAATAGGCCCGTTGACACCCATATGGAGGTAGTAACGAGTTGGGTTGGGCACAAAACTTGGGGAAAACTACGAATATGGGTAAGACGTTTATAAGATATCGGGCATTTACTCCGAAATATTGAGCAGTTATTGCCAGAAACGTTTCTTTTAGTCACACCTACCTTCATTAACACTGCTTTTGCGAAAATGAACGCAAACGGATAACTCTGGGTGCATATTTTCCCGATATGCTTTCATGACTTTAAACTAAAGCGCTGGAAAACTACAAATTGGTGGGAAACGAGCGGGTGCAACTGATTGGGAATGATTGGCGGGAGGGTATGTGCACGACTTATGGTTAATGGATGGATTAAATACAGAAGATATGATCAGAGAAGACCTCTTAGTGCGGGAAAAGTCAAATGACAAAGGCTATATTGCCATAGAACGCGCTTCTTGTTTTCTCCTCAGTAGCAGGCACCTTAACTTTTGAATTCATTCGTGCTGACGATATTTTTTGGAATTGTTTGAGAGTATGCCCTATTTATTCATTGCAATACACGTCCGGTGTGCAGATGCTTAAATCTACACTACAGAACACTTGATCGGGTGGAACTGTTCGTTCCGACCGTTGACGTGACCTGTAAATCTGAGATACGTCCATACAGTGCCACTGCTCAGGAAGAAACTTGAGCTTGCATGAATGAAACTAGGTTATACAAGTCCGACTCCACCTGCGCGACCAGCTTTTTGATACTTCTCCCCAGTAAGACGACCCCTTGGTGTAATGTGCACTTCAGTACAACGAGTAAGCCATTCATGGGGTGTGGGCTACGGATCAGTTATAACATTATGTATTCTGTGTAAGCTATTGTTCATTACTCCATACAAAATAGAATAATGTAACGTTTTTTGCATAACGCCATATTTTTTTCGTTCTTTTGAAAGAAAATGACTAAATACCCAGCTAAAACGACAACAAACACCGATTAAGAGGTGATCAGTGTGCGTACACTGCGCGCAATATCAGAAAACATTACATCAATGTCCAAAACACGACTGCAAACCCACCTTGGGGAATTACAACCGATTCCAATGAATGAGGCCACACATTCGTTCGTAACGTTTAGCAGTTGACAGAGGACACAACTACCTCAGCCTTCCGGACACTGGTAACAGCAGACCATCAGCTTAACTCGAGACAAGTGCGCTTTCAAAACGTTCTGAGACCGGTCGGTGCGCGTGGTCACTTGAGAGCTGTTTGGTGCGCAGTTAAGTTTCGTTGATTCGTTGGATACCTGCGCGTTCAAAGGTTTCTGAGATTGACTGTGTGCATGGTTACTTGAGAGGATATTTAGTTCCCAGGTAAGCTTCGCTGATTTGTTGATCACTTGTTGGTTGCACACCCATGACATATAAAGTTGCGACGTAAACATATGAATATGCAAGTATACATAAGCTGCAATACAGGCTTACCACCGTAGTCATTGCGCTCGCGCTGTATCACTCGTTTCCTTTTTGCATATGGAAGTGATTCCAAGCAGCTACATCGCGGTTACTACCGAAGCATTCGTTACGCAGTTTGGGAGCGTGACATAATAAGCCACCATTAACCCTGTTGATACAAGCACTGTGCAATCAAACCGCGTGTGGAAGATAATCTTATCAAGGAGCGTAAGATGGGTAACAGCCATAGACAGCTGCTCCAGCAGAAAGGACTGGTCAATGGCACGCCGATTACGATCGCGGATGGCAACGAAAAGGAGAATGATGACGTCATCGTTCTGTGTCTGATCCTGGTGTTTGGTAGCGAGCCTTGTTTTCATGACACAAAGCGCTGAGGATGGGTATGGTGGCTGAGAAGGATCCAAATAGTTAAGGAGCCCCTTCTCATTTAAAGCAGATTACCCAGAACCTCTCGTTTATTAACGATCCGCACAAA